TAAGTTGATCTCTGACATAACTACATAAACTACATGGTTTCCCCTAACACTCTTTTTTGTGCCAACCTTTGACTTCTTCTCTTTCAGGAGATGTAGAATTTGGAATCAAATAGTTCTAGGCTAAGATGGTGTCTCTGACAATGTCTGCTCATGAATTTCTCAATGAAATCATGTAACCCATTGGAGCCTTCCTGGACCCACCTGAGAATGTAGATAGTGGTGTCTTTCTCACGAGAGTGAGGAAGGATGGGTGGGGGGTGACCTTTGTAAAGGCAGCAGGTGCATGGTCTGGAGCACACCACCATCATGGTATAGCTGTGGCCGTTGTGTAATCCTTCACCCAGTGTGTCAGTGTGGTCATGGGCTCTCATCAACTCACTGAAAGACAATCTGCTGACTAGGGCCTTCTCCTCATGGTGATGAGTGGTAGAAAAGCTATATTGTTTTTGAAACTGGCTCTACTTTCAAGTGGCTGAGATTTGGAGAACAGTGTTAGGGATGCTTGCATCCTGTGGGATGTGGTGTTGGGGATGACTACATCCTGTGTCAGAGAAAACACATACTATAGATTATATATGTGTACGCATATCCATTATAGATGTAATATGTATGTGATATGGTGCATACACGTGTGAACCTATAGCATATGCATGTAATATGTACACCTATATTCATTATTACACTCATCACCATGTTATATATAGACTAATTATTTGATTAGGAGCTGTTTAGAACAGATGCAATGAAGATGACAAATAGATCTAACTTTGTATAGAAACTTGGCTGGGCTATAGTGACCAAATATTTGGTCAAAGGTTATTCTGAATGTTTCTATAAGCATGTTTTTGAATGAGGTAAATATATATGTCAGTAGAATTTGCAGAAAGCAGATTGCCCTTGGTAATAAGAACAGGCCTCCGCCAATTAGTTGAAGGACTCTAGGGAACAGAAAGAATCAAACATGGCGTGGCACTTCCCTGAAGTGGAAGGAAATTTGCCTTGGGCTCTGTCCTGGATCTCAGTCCTGCAGATTTAAACTGAGCTGCAGCCTCACCTCCTCTGGAGGAGTCCCCAACCTCCTGGCCTGCTCTGCAGGCTTTATACATTGCTATGTGAGACAATCCTTAACAATGAATCTCTTACCAGCACTGGTGGCTCATGCCTATAATCCCAGCTACTCAGGAGGCTAAGATTTGAGGATCGTGGTTTGAAGCCAGCCTGGGCAAGAAAGTTCATGAGACTCTTATCTCCAATTAACCACCAGAAAGCTGGGCATAGAGCTGTTGCTCAAAGTGGTAGAGTGCTACCCTTGAGTGGAAAAAGCTCGGGGACACTGCCCAGGCCCTGAGTTCAAGCGCCATGATTGACCAAAACAAAAAACCAAGCAAAAAAAAACCCTACTTTTTTTTGTGTGTAAATCCACATACCTGTATACATCCCATTGCTTTGGCTTCTCTGGAGAACTCTTGACTAGCTTGATCTCCTGACCCACAAACCACTATGAGCTTCCTGCTCTATCAGCTTGCCTTCTTGAAAAAGATATTATATACTATGGCCCTGTTAGATGATCCACTAATGTTGTGAAAACTCTACACAATTTCATATCCTAGAGACACCCAGGGTCAAGTCTTGGCTCTGCCAGGACTGTTTGCCTTGGCGCAAGAAAGCAAGGCAGCAGCCAGGCAGGAGAGGCCAGGCCTATGGGATTGCTGTCCTTCACACAAGGATTTAATGTCCTGTCTTCCCATCAAAGGAGACACAAATGGCAAATGTCCTAGGGACCTCGCCATATTCAGGGCTGGGTTTTGCTGAAAGAGAAATCATGAGGGCTAACAGAAGAAGTTCAGCTTCAAAATACCATCTGCTATGAACAAGATCATAGCTGGATTATGGCTGCTTTTTTTTTTCAATGAGAGAAAATCCTGCCTTACCTTAAAGATGTACTGTTTCTCTCTCATTCAGTAGCATCCCCAGAATGAAAGGAAACATGGTCCCATTAAGAAGCAGCCTAGAAGATAGACATAGACAAACTGTGTTTGCTAAATGAGGATTGTCTAATATTTTTTTTAAATTATTAACCTTGGAGCAACTTGTTTTTGCTTTGTATGAGAACATAGAGCTTTTCCAAGGCCTTCAGTTAGATGATAGTGATAAGCATGTGATCTTGACAGTATATATGCAGAGCTCCTGTGGCTTGCTTGTCGCCACCGTTGGATGAAGCTCCACCCAATCGTGAGCTAATTTCAATGTCTCCAGGGAAAAGAAGCAAGGTGCTCTTTGACCATCAGGTTTCTCCAGGTCTTTTCCTAAGATGAAATTCGATAGTCTAGCGTCCAGTAGGACTCATCCGTGTTTCTTTTTCTTTTTTTCTTTTTTTACTATTACAGAGGTGGTATAGAGAGGGTAACAGCTACATAAGTAGGATAAAGAGTACATTTCTTTTCAAACAGTGCTACCCCCTCCCTGCTTTCTCCACCTCCCTCCAAGTTGTGAGGTTCATTTCCAACACAGTGTCTTGTGAGGATCGCTGTTGTGTTGGTTCATCCTTTGTCTACCATTTCTGTGGCTCTTCTTGCTTTCCCCACGTCAGATAAAATTACTATACAAGACAAAGGGTACTAAAATCAAAGACAGTGACCACAGGGAATAAACCAGAGGAAAGAAAGAAAGAAAGAAGAAATAGCTGACAACTACTAAGAAAACAAACAGGAAAAACCCTCTCGCTTCCATATCTTGGAGTCCATTTCAATTAGCATCATTTTATATGGGTATGTGTACATAGCTACTGAGCTATTTTCTCCTCTACTAGGACTATCCTAGCATAGGCTATTACAAATAAGGGAAACCATAGAGCCTCATCCATGCTTCTGAAAACAATTCTGCCACTTCCAGAACTGCCTGAGACCTACATTGACAACCAGAAAAAAGAAAGCCCAACATAGTTTGCATGTGAAAAGAGCTAAGATCTTTGCATTGGTTCACTTCAAGACTATCAGTCTTGAGTTTGCCACCTGATGGCTGTGCAATTCTGGACAAGGGACTAATTTCCACCAACCTTACTTCTCTCCCTCACTGGTAAGATGGGCATCGCACACATCTCTCAGCTCAAGTTGCAAAGAATTAAGACAAAAAAAAATCAAAAGAGCAGCGGGGAGCCAGAGACAACCTGAAGACCCCCAGCATCCTCTTCACTTCTCTGCTCAATTCTGTTTCCTGGTTTGCATAATAGAACTTTTTCCAACATGCTGTGCACCCAACTAGTTCACTGGAAACAAGTAATTAGCATTCCAGATAAAAATGACACTGTTGCAATGTTAATTATGGTAGTACAGATGTACCCTTCGATTTAGATATCATACATAACGTTGTCAAGTCTTTATTTTTAAATTAAAGTGCAACAAACCATACCCTGGCTACATATCTTTTTTTTTCTTGATTAATACAAATTAATGTTATTTCAGTGTCTAGGGAAAGGGTGAGAAAAAGGAGATGTCGCATCTGTTACCACACATAAATGGTAGGGGAGATGGGTTCCCACAACTTCCTGCCCCCATTCGGAGCTCTGCATAAAAGACAGTGAACTCATTGAGAGAAAGGATCTGCTGGAAGTGGAGTGTGGTGTTAAGTGGTAGCGCTCTCAGCTTTGAGGGGAAAAAAAAGCTAAGAGAAAGGATCTGCTCACCCCATGAACCCTAGCACAGATCCTAGTGCACTGAATATTTTCTGAGCAACTGGTAGAAGGAAGGAAGGGAGGGAGGGAGGATCAGTTGACAAAACATTCCACATTTGAGGACTGTAGCAATTAATTATGGATCCATGGGCAGTCAGTTCTTCTGGTCAAGACCAGTTACCTGGGGGAATCAGACAGGAACATCCAGTCTTGGATGGACTCTTCTAGCATGGCCCTTCCCACTCAAGTCTCATCCTCCAGCAGACCAGCCCAGATTCATTTGCATAGTTTTTCAATTCCCCAGTAATAAGCAAGAAATCATGAAAATACTCTCAAAGCCTGCTAACAGAACTAGCTCAATTGCCAAAGTAAGTGATTTGGAAAACCCAGAATCAATCAAGGAAGACAGAATGGAGTATTAGGACTAAGTCTTGGGAACTGAAAACTGGATTATTTGAGGGAGGTGGGAGAGATGGTATTAGGGTTTGAACTACTCAAGAGTCTCTGGCTTGACTTACTTGTTCAGCTGGTGTTCTACTATTGGAGCCACACCTCCAGTTCTGTTGTTTGCTGGTCATTTTTTTGAGACAAGTTCTCACTGACTTTTCTCCCCAGGCTGGTCTTCAACTGAGATCCTTCTGTTCTTAGCCTCCTAAATTGCAAGGGTTATAAGTTTGAGCAACGAGTACCTAGTAAAAATGGAACTCCTTTATGAATCTCTTCAGTTTGGCACTGAGGCTGTCAAGAGGGACTTGATGCTGGAGACTCTAGAAGGAAACATTCAATCTCACACTAGGGTCTGCTTTTAGCCATCTGTTGTGACTTTCTTATTTCTCATTTAGCCCTCTTAGAAGAATCACTACTCTATAAGAAATATACACATTATCCTGCCCATGTAATTGTAAACCCTCTGTACAGTATGTTCACAAAAAAATTAAATTAAATTTTAAAAAAAGAATCACTACTCTGCTTATTGCTCTTTCCTGTTTCTTCTTTTTTTATCTTTCTTTTTTTACAGCATCTATATCTTCCAAATACTTATGATGATCAGGACACATTCATTTCTCATAAGGTGCACTATGCAAAATATAAGTCACAGTGAGTGAAATATTTCCTTTGATTTCCTACATCCAATTCTGAAATGATAAAGTGGTTTATGTCTTGCAGAAAGTACTGTAGAAGCCAGCTGGTAAGACAGGTGGCAGGGCAGGTCTCCATGTCAATTTAGCCTATGTCTTCTCATTGGAAGAATTAGAAATAAAAGCATTAATCTACACACCATGCTGAAGTAGAAGAAAACCTTGTTTATCTGTTGCCCATTGTCTTACAGGTGAGTGGGACCATGTACAACACTGGAAGGCATGTGTCCCTCCGCCTGGACAAGGAACACTTGGTCAACATATCAGGAGGGCCTATGACGTATAGCCACCGGCTAGAGGAGATCCGGCTCCACTTTGGGAGTGAAGACAGCCAAGGATCGGAGCATCTCCTCAATGGACAGGCCTTCTCTGGGGAGGTACGTGGCTCTAAGTACTCATGTTAAATGCTAACTTCCAAGATTTGGTGCCTTTTCTTTTTAACCCAAAGTGGAATGACAGATGGGAAAATCTCTCTTGAATCTATGATATGAGAAGAACCGTGCCTCCTTTCTCTGTCTTTCCCACGTGGACATGGATCTATAAAAGAGCTTCCCGTATTTTTACAGGGAAGAATACAGTGAAACTGGGTATCTCCTGCTGAGCTTCACTACAAGTCTCTAGGGTCTCATGCCCTGATAAATCTCTGGAACATTCTTTTAAACCAAAATCCTGACCTTGTGTGCACCTCTTCACTTACATCTGCCGGTGGATTACATGAATTACATGAATTCTATAACTTTCCCTGATGGTAGCATAAGTCTTATTCGTTCAAAACTACAATGCACTGTGATAAGTGTTAGGCAGCTGAATAGTTTACCTGGCATTGTGTGAAACGGGAAAGGTCATTGTGTGCCACCACAGTTAGGGTCACTGTCTGCAACCATCAGACCAGACAAATGTCGGGCTACAGTCATGAGCCCAACCACACTTTCACTTACAGGATAAGAGGTGATATGATAATGTTTAGTTGTGACACTTGACAAGCAGGTTGTAAGTTAATGTGACCTGTAAGCCTCCATTACATTTGAGGGGAGCTATGAGGATCAGGGGTTCTCATATGCTGCATATCCTGTAACTAGCCTGATACCAATGACTCACATCTGTAATCTTAGCTACTCATGAGGCTGAGATCTGAGGATCATGGTTCAAAGCCAGTCCAGGCAGAAAAATCCATGAGACTCATATCTCCAATAAACTACCATAAAAGCCAGAAGTGGACCTACGGCTCAGGTGATAGAGCACTAGCACTGAGCAAAAAGTTGCCCAAGGACAGCATCCAGGCCCTGAGTTCAAGTCCTAAGACTGGCACAAAAGCAAAAACAAAACAGAAAAAAACAGCCGTGTAACTAGGTTAACAGTCCTCAGTAACTGATATCAGAAAGCTTTGAAAATATAGAAACATGCATCTTATAGGATCATCTTGATTTTTTTATAAATCAAAATCATGTTTAAACCTGGCATTACTTTTAAATGTGGTAGGAGCACATACAACAAGAAATAGATCCACACCTGAAGGAGTCCATTGGCCAGATTTTGGTGTGTGTTCAAAATGCATCAACTGAAAGCTTACCTAGAGACTTAGCTAGTTACCAAGGATATAGAGAATTTTTTTAAAGAACAAGAAGCAAAGAGTTCCTGCCCCAGTGAAGCTTAGAGAGTGTTATATTCAAATCATTAAAATCTAATGCCACGCTGTAATGGAGATGTACAAAGGCCCTGGCAGCCTCAAAGGAAGAAGGGACAATTTTTACTTGAAGGGGTCAGAGGAAAGCTTCACACGAGAGGTGCCCTTTGAACTTGGTGGTGAACAGAAGCAAGGAAAACAATTTAAAGAGCATAAGCTTTAGATTCAAAGGGCTTAGAATTATAGCTTCCACTTTGATACTCACTATGTTATCTTAGGATGATACTTAAAGCTTCCAAGGTACCATTTAGACACCTTTCAAGCTCATTTAAAAAATTCAAGTGAGGTGCCAATCGTAAGGAGCACTGGAAGTACTCAGTTGACAGATTAAAAGGATAAAGCAAGATACGGGTAGGCTGAGAAAAAGCTCCAAGGCACATCTGGGCACTGTCTGTTGAAAATACAACATGTAGATTTCATCAGCATAGTATCTATGATCTATTAGTAATGACTGCCTAGACAAGGGGGTTGGGCAGAAGTCTGTTTCTTGCTAGGATTGATTGAGGATGTCTGCTAAGGGCAAGTAAGCAATGAAAAGTTCCTGGAGTTGCCAGTCTTGAATAAGAGCATAGATAACAAGGAGCATGAGAAAAGTAAGAACACTGTTTCAGGAGAACAGGGAGACTGCCAGAATGAATCAGGGAATAGTTCAAGTGAGATGACGCTTCCTTTGAATCATACAGGTTATTCTTCTAAAGCTTATAATTATTTATTTGTTAAGTTACTTGCTCATTTGTTTGTTTGCTATTACTTCTTTGGTTTTCTTTTCTCCTTCACTGAACTCATTCCAGTGCCTATCACATGCCTCACTGTAGAAATATTTCTGTGATGTAAATAAATAAGCAAAAAACTCTAATTACTAAGCTAACATTTTTACATGGTGTCACCTGTTTCTTCATTAGAGAATAAAAATGGTTTGGAATTGTTACATGGGCAAATTATAATTTGAGGAGAAAATGAGTGCTTCCAATATCCTTAAGGGATACATAATAATTTGATCTCATGGTATATTAATTTTTTTAGAGTTATCCCAGACTGCAGGCGTTAGGTTCTCTAAACATTCTGCTCCTAGAAAGCCAGAGGTGATAATTTGCACCTATAATCCCCATGATTCAGAAGTTCATGGCCATCCTAGGCTTCATAGCAGGACTTTGTCCAAAAGAGGAAGGAAGGAAGGAAGGGAGGAAGGGAGGGAGGGAAGGAGAGAGGGAGGGAAGGAAGGGAGGAAGGAAGGAAGGAAGGAAGGAAGGAGATACATGTCAGAAAGCAAAAAGTCCTGTGATTAGATTTATGAAACATAGTCTCAACAGAACATTATTAAATGTACTCAGTGAAGAGATCATTTGGCAAAGAATATTTTTAAACAGAGCTGCAAAAATAACCTACTCATGGCATTATAAAAATATAGATGTCTGTGTCCTTCCCTGAAGCAACTGACTCAACATCTCAAGAAGTGGGAACAGGGGTATGTGCATTTTTCCCCAAAAGAATTTGGCTAGCAACAAATATGATCATTGCACTCTATTGTAATTATCCCAGTTTTCTCAGTAGTGGAAACCTAAAAAAAAGTTACTATGTGAAAAGTGAAACCCCTTGGTAATTGTATCTTGGACATAATAAACTAGGATGCTATAAGACAGATGAGATTTAGGAAGTAGAAGGACCACACTCATACATCCACTGTTCCAAGGCAGGTTTGCACATCAGTGTCAGTAGAAGTACAGTTTCACCTGACTCTGAGTAAGCCACACCAGTTGTATTATATTTCTTTCCACATCCTTCAGCATGAGAGATCTATAGACAAATTGGTGCTGGTTTAGTGCAGGAGATCAGAATTTAAGAGGTTCTAAAATATTAGATAGATAGTTGGTCTTAGAAATATTTAATGGGCTCTAGTAAGCAAGAAGAACTTAGAACTTCATATCTTCTATATAGCATGAGGGGAAAGATCTAGGGCCAGGAAGTGGAAGCTACAGAAAGACAAAGTTCAACTAAACATATGTTGTAGCAACAAGAGCTGTCCATCAATGAAATGAGTTTGCTTTTGAAAGAAGTAAATTCACATTGCTGGAATCATTTAGCACTAAACAGAAACTGGCATCTTTATAAAAAAAAATAACCGTTGGCTTTGATGCATCTTCAATAGCCAAATTTCACAGGATCTATGATTTTCTTATTGACATTTCCTCCAGTAAGATCCCACAGAGGGCTATCGCCCTATAGCTTAATTTTGAGCTACCTTTGGTTTGGCTTGAAGCCATCCTTCACCCCTATTTTGGGCTACCCTCTAGGGACCCCAAGCAGACACTTCTTGTAATAGAGAATGTGTTTATTTTGTTGACAGTGAGTAATCGCATTGCCATCTGCCCGGTCTATCAGGACTGATCATGATAAGTCAATTAATGCCAGCCATTTTCCTTGGCATGGTGCAGCAGTCCTTATCTGAAGAGCTGCAGATTAATTGCAGTCTTGTCTAGTGAGGTTATTATAATTGATGGTAAGCATTTGCTTTGTTTTGTAAAGCTGCATGGATGTATGACATAGTCAGCAACTACATTTTTATAAAAATTATTCATGTCCTACACGGAGAACCCCTGGATGCCTTGTTGAGGGCTGGTGATAAATGAATGTGTTCAGGAATTCAAGTGTCTCCATTTTTTTTTGAAGAAAAGGAAAATTAACTGTTTTTAATAAGTAAGACCCTTAGCTTGCTAATCATGTCTAAGTACTTAGATTGATATCCAGTATAAAGTAGGGTACTTATGAAAAGAAACAAATACATTAGCCAGGCAAAAGATAATAGTAGGAAAGAACCACACATGAGGAGGAGGTTGCGGGAACGGAACTAGGCATGAGAAAATCTTTCCTATTTGGGAGAAATTATGCAAATTCATTTTGAAAACCTTCTTCAGCTTCTTTTCAGTGGGGCAAAGGGATACTCCAAGAATGGTGCCATTCATCTCACAGAGCCTCTGGGGCCTGGTCCTTACGCCATTATCTGCTGTTTGCAAGGCTATTGTGCTTCTGTGTGGCCAGATATGAGGTAGATATAGGCTGGCCTTGAGATTCTGTCTAGAGAAGCCTGAAGTCTGTTGAGGGAAATGTGTATTGATTATCGGTGAATATATATAATTAATATTATATTAATTACATATATTAATACATGGATATATATTAATATGTTCACATTGACTATACATGGAGCTAGAGAGAGAGAGATTAAGGTTTGAGAGAGATTTGAGGTTTATTCTGGAAGATGGTTATGAAATGGCTGTCTTCGGGTCATATTAAGAAAGAGTAAGCATGGGTAAGCCTGGTACTGGTGGCTCACACCTGTAATTCTAGCTACTCAGGAGGCTGGGATCTGAGGATGGCAGTTCGAAGCCAGCCCAGGCAGGGGAAGTCCATGAGTCTCTTATCTCCAATTAATGACCAAAAACCAGAAGTGGAACTGTAATTCAAGTGGTAGAGTGCTAGACTTGAGTGAATAAAAGATAAGCAAGAGCACAGGCCCTGAGTTTAAGCTCCAATATTGCGGGGAGGGGGGGATAGATACAGAGAGAGAGAGAGAGAGAATTGGTGAGCAGCTTGCAGACTGATACCACACACTTGCTGCTCACTCTGAAGGTGAAACAGCATTTCTAGATCTCAAGCTCTAGAGCCTGTGATCCTCCTCAACACACAGCAAAGTAA